TATATATATATATATATATATAATTATTCATTAGCTTATCAATATTATTTATTTATTTATTTATTTTTTATTTATTTATTTATCTCTGTAATATTTATGTTTATTTAATACAACAATAAAACAATACAACAATACACATAAGTTTCCTATTTTCATGGTCTTCTACAATTACACCTACGTTTATCTTAAATATTAAAATCTACAGCCTGAATAAAAATATCTCTCACTATTTACTTAAACGCTTCACAATGTTTCCCATTCCCCTAAAGTGTGTGACTTAACTATTAATACGATGTGCATTGTTAACCGACTACATTTCTGTAATCAGTGGTCCTACTCACTGTAAATCCCAATTAAAACCAAAGCATAGCCTAATGGCATGCACTAAACAAATAGCGGTTTAATTCACTAGTGTGCTTTCAGTTTGGTATAACAGGACCTGTATAATAAAAAATACGCAAATTGACTGAGGCAACTTAAACCAGTCAAAGTAATTGTTTTCCATAAATCATTTAGCAAATATACAACTGTGTCTTATTGAGGTCCTGTGCAGTTATTTTCATAATACTGGAGTCTCTGCTCCATATAAGATGCAGCTGCCGAGCATAAAGTAGGTGGCACAACAATATCTCCTAGTGGTGAGATGTAGACATGACTTGATGTAATGAGAAGTGAACCCTAAAAGAGCTTTTGGATGTTTTTGTATGTAAAATCCTCATCTGTATTATGGGGAACATGCTGGTACAAAGCAATATGATTTTATCTGTGCCATGATAAAATAATTTCCTATCCACCTTTTTTTCTGCATATGACTACTGCGTTTCAAATTATGGGATGCATTTCCAGTTATGGAATTTCTATTTGAAAGAACTGAAATAAATCAGTTTAATATATATATATATATATATAAGGTTGTGCTGCAAATAATCCATATACATAGTGAACGAATTTAAAGAGTGATGTGCTTTATTTGTATCCATGATGGAAATAATGTTATAAATAATGTTATGCTTAGAATTTTAACATTACAGGTTTCGTCAAGTCAAATTTAAGACTTTAAGACCGTTTTAAGACACTTATGAATGAACCTTCAGACTTATACAGAGTTACAAGCACATTTTCTTTTTTTCTAATAGCCCTGTTTGTTTATCGGAAAGGATAAAAACTATAATAAACTAAATATATGCACATGCGACAGTCTATATAAATATAAACAGTCTATATCCAGGTCAATTACTTATTTTGTATTTAAACAATGCAACAAACAAGCAAACAACCCCTAGTTTTACTTATTTTTGTCAACAACTTTTCTTAAAAAAATAAAAAAATAAACTCTTTAGGAACTAAAATAAACTAAATGTATGCACATACGACAGTCTATATATCCAGGTCAGTGTCCAAATTCCATTATGAATACAATAGACTTATAAAGGGCTAAATACTAAAGATTTTATTTTTATTTATTATTATTGTTTTTTTAATGTCCCAGTTTGTCTAGCGGAAAAGATAATTTAAAAAAAAGCTTTTTTCTTACCCAGATATTTTAAATAATGTGTCATACAAACCCTAGTTGTTTACATTTTTTATTTAACATAACTTTTCTAACAAAAAAAAAAAAAAAAAAAACTCTTTAATAAACTAAATGTATGCACATTCGACAATCTATATATTCAGGTCAGTGTTCTCAACCTATAAATTCTATTATGAAAAAAAATGTCACACTTATACAGGGATAAACGCTAAGGATTTTATTTTCTAATAGCTTACTTTGTCTATCAGAAAAGATAAGAAATGTAATTACGTATTTCTTAGCCACATACCCTAAATAACATGTCAAACAAACAAACCAACCGTAGTTTTATACACATTTTTTTTTAACTTTTCTTAAAAAAAAAAAAAAACGCTTTAAAACTATAATTAACTTAATGAATGCACATTCAACAATCGATATATCCAGCTCAGTGTCCTCAACCTATAAATGCATGAAAAGCTTTCCAGCAAATGTTATAATAAGGTAGATGATTAAAACATATTGGTTAGAAAGCTATTATAATATTAGTAATAATTAGAGTTTTGCTAAATTTTTCTTGAGATGGATTGTTGGAGACTGGATGAGTGTTTGTCTGACTGATTAGCTTTACATAGACATAGAAAAATCAAGACTCTTTTAAGATAATATAAATAAGACTATATAATATATCAGTGAATTTAAGACTTTTTGAAACCTAAAATTCTGTTTTTGAAATTTTAAAGACCCCAATGGACCCCTAAAATTAGTATTGCAAGTATATCTGTGGCAAAAGTTCACTGTTTTATACCTGTAGATTTTTTTCTATACTCTACAATGCAGTATTATTTAACATGTCCGTAATATTGCAGGAGGTAAGACTCATTGTGAGTCCTTCAGTCTATTAAAAAAGTAAACAGTTAATGGACTAACCACTGGACCTGTTATTATTCTTCTTCTTCTTCTTATTATTATTATTAATATTAATATTATTATTATTAGTAGTAGTAGTAGTAGTAGTAGTAGTAGTAGTAGTAGTAGTAGTATGAGTATTATTGCTGTTATCATTATTTAAAAAAAAAAAAAAAAAAAAAAAAACACTTCACTGATTGTTTACAGTTTAACTAAAGCTACTCCCATATTTTAAGGAAAGCATCATGGGCATATGAAAAAGAGTTACAGTCTGGCCCTTTAAGTGACATGACCTAAAAACAAATCCAGTGGGTTGTGGTTTTATTCTAGAATAACTATAATGACTAGTAATGCCGCTGTGTCATGGGCCACTCCAGAAATGCATATCAGGAAAGCTGTTTACTCAAGCCCAGACGCATAACCCTTACAGTAAGACGTAGAAATTTATGGTGAAGGTTATGAACAAAATGGAAATGCAATGTTCACATACTTAGCTGATATTGGAGGATGTAGCCAATTAGGACTCCATTTGCGTCAACTGGAGGAGACCAGGTCAAGGTGACCTTGTGCTTCTGGATGTTTGTAGCACTGAAAGCAGCTGCTTGACCAGGAACTGCAGGTAGACAGAGAAAAAAAAAGAGTTGACAGGTATTTTAATAATTTAAAGAACCCTTTCGTGCACACAAATGAAGATAACAGTGCTATGGTGTCTTGCATTCATCTATTCTTTAAAAAAAAAAAAAGCACCAGCGTTAATAAACAACAAAAGTTTTAGAGTCAAAAAATTTTAATATTTTGATGAAATGCTTCAATATATACATATATATATATATATATTCAGAATAATTTAACTTATGCAGCATTCAAACACTATAATGTCTCATTTGTAATGATTCTGACTTTGATATTAAACAAAAATGCTGGATATCAAAAACAAATGCTGGATAAGCTTGCGGTTCATTCTGCAGTGGCGACCCCTGATGAATAAAGGGAGTAAGCCGAAGGAGTATGAATAAATGAAATGAAACCAAATTAACAGCATGCCAAGACGTCTTTTATTTACACACAAATATGGACATCTCACAAATGTAGCGTACATACATAAAAATGGGTATATATATATATGATTAAAAGTATCTAAAAGTAACTTGAGTAATTTTTTTTTAATCTGACACTTTTTTAATCTTACTTGAGTAACTTTTAAGATGGCTACTTTTCACTTTTACTTGAGTAAAAAAAAAAATCAAGTGCACTGAAAAAAACATTATGTCTGCAAAATTGCTGCAAACAATTTATTCAATCATTCATTTTCTTTTCGGCTTAGTCCCTTTATTAATCCGGGATCACCACAGCGGAATGAACCATCAACTTATCCAGCTCATGATTTACGCAGTGGATGCCCACTCATTCACACTCATACACTACGGACAATTTAGCCTACCCAATTCACCTCTACCGCATGTCTTTGGACTGTGGGGGAAACCGGAGCACCCAGAGGAAACCCATGCGAATGCGGGGAGAACATGCAAACTCCACACAGAAACGCCAACTGACCCATCCGAGGTTCAAACCAGCGACCTTCTTGCTGTGAGGCGACAGCACTACCTACTAAGCCACTGTGTCACCGCAAACAAACAATTTATGTTGGTTGAATTTAAACAAATGAAATTGAGTAATGTTCAACTTAATTTGTGTGTTTAAATTCAGCCCCAAAAATTGTTTACAACCACTTAAAAAAAACAAAAAATATGTATATATATATTAAAGAAGTAGTCCACTACGATATCATACTTTAAACTTTAGTTGATGTGTAATGTTGCTTAGTGAACATAAAGAACATCTCTGTATGTAAGATGCTCAAACTTCAATGCAAAGGGAGAAACTGGCTTTTACAGAGTTAGCTTAGCAAAGCCTACAGCGAACGAATTTGGGGACTACAAAAAAATACATACAGGCTAATGAGATCGCAAACATTCCAGGTTACACACTTTCACTGCACACACACCTCGCTCAGCAAAGGAGCATGGCCATAGACGCGTTAGTAGAGAAAGCAAAATGCAGTCCAAACGCTGCTATTTCTATGGATCTTGTTCTGTTTCACTATTTGTCCATCCAAGGGATGTGACACAAACAGAAAAGGGCTTACATTTTAATTTAATTATGTTCCAGAATATTATAAAAAAGATAAAGCTCTCTGTGCAAAGCATTTTACAAAGGATAGCTTCCACCAATGGTCACAGTTAAGAGTTGGATTCAGCCTACGATAAAGAAGCTGTGGATTGTGAGCCACAACCTGTAAGTGCTTCTTTTTGTTAAAATGTATATCTTACATGGATAGTTTCCAGCATTCATTGCAGGCTATGTTGTAGTAGGGACGTAAACAAGGATATAAACAATGAGAAACGCGGTCTGTTAAACATATATGTATCTGTTTTCCCCATGTAAACATTTGCAATCGTCACCAGCGACTGCAATGTATCTGTATGCGTCAGCAATCCATGAGTTTTACTTTTGAAATAATGGAGTATATTATGTACAGACATCCCAAGTCTCCCCAAAGCGCTGCCACCACCACTTCCTCTACCTTATTTACTACATAAGGGAGCAGCACTTCAGTCAAGACAGCAGCAATGCATTGTTGGGCACGTGTATTACTTTTACGGTAATTTAGTCAACCGTTTTACTCAAAAAAAAAAAAAAAAAAAAACACATCATATCATTTATTCATTTTTCTGCAACATGTTTCATTATTTATTTATTTACAAAAGTGTGTTGCTTTCAGAATAGGGTTGTCCGTGTTTTCAGTATATTTTCATTAATTTGTTCAGCATAAACATACTGTTTATAAATACCTTAAGTGTGTTTTAACTTGTCCAAGCCTTACTACAGTACAATGTCATTAAGACTGCATTTTTATGACGTGGTTAAACCTCAGATAGTGAACGAAAACCCAAAGTAGACTGTTTTACCTGCTATCTATTAGAAACGAGACTTATTATAATGCACCATTTCCTATTTACACTAGAATGGGATGCTGAAATGAAATGCTGATGGCTTGACCACATTCTTCCTCTAACCAACGAACAGAAAAAAAACCAAAAAAAACATACTATTCAGAAACATCTAGCAAGATTGTGTTTGCTTGGGTTCAGCTGTGTTATCTTCATTTTCTGTGTCTGACTCAGACTCAAACTGATACAGCCTCACTGACATTATTTACAGTCTATGGCAAGCCATTTTAGCATTTAAACCTTTGTTCTGACAATGGATAAATATAATACGGCAAGGGGTATTTAATGGTAAAACGGTTTACCATTACAGTCTGACAGACAGCGCGCAAGAGAGGCATGACGTTTTCTGGTGACGTGAAGCCGATCTGTCAATCACAACACATTAGGTTTGCTGACTAATCAGAGCCCTCTGAGGGCGGGCCTTATAAGGAAGATAAGATAAGTAAACAAATAATGTGATTTTTTACAAATGAATTACGAACACACATTGTTTTGCACCCCATAAACACAATCAAACCTTAAAAAAAACATTGTGAACCACCCCTTTAAATCCAAGGAATCATCTTTGAATCATTTTCTTCAGTGTACTTGTATTTTTACTAAAGGATACATTTCGGATACTTCACCCAGCTTTGGTTTTTAAAGAAAAAACTTGATGTTGAGTATAATTTCTGAAAACAAGACTAGAAAATGCTTTTTGATTTAAGAATTTTGAGATATTCGGACTAGAAACAACCCAAACAAGGTGAACAGAATACAAAAAAAAAAAAAAACACAGATCCATTGTAGACTATAAACCTTGTACCTGCAGTTCTTATAAATTATACACTAAAGAAAGAGGAAAACCTTACAAAGCATCTCATGGCCTCTTAAAGTAGACACATTGTCCTCACTCACCTCCCTCAGGGGTTTTGAAGTTGACCGAATGACTGCCAGGACCGTTTCCTCTGCTGTTAAAGGCCATGACAATGAGGCTGTATTCGGAGAACGGCTTAAGACCTGTGACCACCGCATGGTTCCTCTCGCCTGAGAATGTCAATGTGTGCTTGTCGCCGTGTGTTTTCTTTGAGTCCAGCAGACTACGAAGCCTCCACCAGCTCACCTACAAGTACATGAGATTAGATTAGTCAAAAAGAACGGCGATTAATACATGTGGATAGTTCTGGCAGCTTACTGAGTAACAAGAGGAGCTTCAAGGTCATAAAAAAAGGGGTCGTTGGCATTTCAACCATGGCTAAAAAGTGAAAGGCATGTTGAATTACCCTGTAGCCACCCAGATGTCCATGTATTTTGTCCTTGTGAACATGTTCCCATCTGACCTTCACCATAGTGTTGTTCAACACTTCTACGGCTACATCATCTGGAGCTGCTGAGGGGACTATGGGATGAAAAACATGCAAATATTAGAAAAAGCTTTGTATGAAATACACTGTTCCTACATCAAGATAATGTGGGTGAATTAGATATCAGATATGTTCATAAAACAAGGAGCAAGAAATGCTGTGGGTAATCATGAAGGGAACAAATTGATTGGGGTAATAGTTGTTTATGTGGAGTTGTGGACTATAATATTGTTTTTATGCTTATCAAACACTTCCAAAATTGCCTACAACAGCCATTTACCATACATCACACAATCTATGTATAAACAACACTAAACATTCACAAGTTATAGACACTTGCTAATGGAGAGAGATTTAATTATAATGGGAAAAAAACAGTGTTGGGGAAACTACAATTGAACTGTACATTTTCAAGAAAAGCTACAGTACATTAAATTAGATATACTATTTAACTTACAAGTTCATATATACTTTTAAATAAGATTCCAGACTTTTTAAATAAGGTTCATGGGATTCAAGACTTAGATCCAATTTGTACACATAATGCACCATTTTAAATGTTACAATAAAGTAGATTTCAGTCTTTTAGATGCCATTGCAATGTTATCATTCTTGAGTGGAAGACTTCCATCCTTAAATTTAAAAGTGTTTATACATATTTAACTCCAGAATGGAGTATATGCACACAGACTTTTAATTTCAGCCAGCCAGCCTCAGCACTTCTGGTCAACTGACTTTCCATTATAAAATTGCCATGTTTAAGGTCTGATTTCTTTAAATATCAGTGATCTTTACTGCCAGACAGTTATACAATATGAATTGGGTCTTCGACCGGACAAGAAACACTGCATTAAATGCCATTGCCCCACGCCATGTCTTTAACATATGGCAGTTTATTTCATCCCAGTATTTTCAATGGAGTTTCTGTGCTCGCCTGCTGATTCTGATGGCACAAGCAGTTACACAGTCTTTCATCTCGTTTTACACTTGAACTACTAAATGAATCCTTAAGTCTATTTAACTGAGTGTATTGTAATCACATTACAACATCGATGCTGTAAAAGGAACCTTATGAAATTGAAAATAGTCACATTAAGCTTTCACTGGAAGTTTATTATTGGCTGAAAAACACTGGCTGTGCATAGCCTACTGCTTCACAAATTCAACCTAAACATTCTAGATCAATGCGTAAAATGTAATACAGAGATATGCACTCTATGTCATGGTTTACGGAACTGTCCTTTGGTTGGAAACTTTTTAATTATTGAATATTGGCAAATGTCCAAAACTATATATATATATATTGTCTTTCTTTATCTTTTATCAATTTTGTATGTTTTGTTTTGTTTTCTTTACAAGTTCCTAAAAAATTAATAAAGACAGTGTTTAAAAAAATATACAGTTTCTTGAATAAAGACTTAGAGTTTAGACAATGATACTAATAAACATTAAAATAATACTAGAAATAAAGCATTTACTTCATTACATTATTCATTTTTTTCTAATTATTATAATACTGCATTTAACTTCTACATTTATTTAGTTATTTTAATTATTTTGTATTATTAATTGTAATCTAATTAGTTTTAATGTGTTTATTATGATCAAAATTGTGTCTATATGTATTTTAATATTAATAAAAAACTACTCAAAACTACTTTTGTGAATATGAATTTAGCCTATTTGGATTTTTAAGTACAGTAAGTGCTGAAAGAATCATTATTGAAACCGTTAACTGCTAATAAACCTTGTCATTCAGTAATTTAAACAGTTAATTTACCATAAATAAACTGTAATGAATCATCCTATTATCCCTTGAGCTTACTCAGCATCATAAAAACAGTAACTTTTGTTTGGCAACACATGACTAGCAACTCCCCAACACTGGTAACCAAATGCTAAGCTAAAAGAGAATCACTAAAATAGGGTAACAGAGGAAGAAAATCGAACTAAACTAAAAAGCATACTACACAAAAACGTAGTGACCTGAGATAACATCGGGAGGACAACTCCAAAAGAAAACTGAAGGCAAGAGAATAATTATAGCCGCAAATATAAACAGCTCATGATAACATTTCATGTACGAAAACTCAGAGTGAGGAGAATCATTCCCACTTTGTTCCATTTAATATTCTCAATAAGGCTAAACAAGTCGCTGCCGTTTGGAGATTGTGTATTAAAGCAAAGATGCTATTTCATCATTGTTCTCTGCCCTCCAGGTTTGTTGATATTCTCATCACACATGTACTGCACTTTCGCTACAGGGAGGGGTGGGTGTGTTTCCATTTACAGCCATTGCTTATTTGCGGCGTAACAAGAGCCTTTACAGATGAAGAAAAGGTTAGAAACCACAATGCATCTTTCAGAATGTGCTACTTTGTATGCTCTCACAGGCACGACGCGCGATGCTTGACAGTGAGTGAAATGTCAACGGTATTGGCTTATTTGAATGCACACTCATCTTCACGGCTCAGGCACAATGGAGGTTGTTTCTACTTACAATCCTCTCCCGAGTACGCTGTTATTATTTTAGGGTCCGGACCCCAGCCCGCGTGGTTCTTGGCCTGAATTTTGATCTCGTAAAGGACGAACGTCGGGGTGTTTTTGACCAGAAATGAGTGCCTCTTCACCATGCGCTCCGTCCAGTCTTCATCGCTGCCATGTCTCCTGTAGCTCACTTTGTACTCCAGACCAGGCCCGTTGTGTTCAATAGGTGACAACGGCTGTGACAGGAAAAACAAGAGCTTGGTTAGAAGACAGGAAAGAGTAAATCAAAAGAAAATAACATTTAGTTGTTTTCTTGTTCTAAATACTAATACTTTGGGTAAAATGTATTAATAGATTATAAATCTATTAGCCTGATTTTAAATCATTAAAACATTTATAATTAGGCTGGCTGATTTTGTATGTATGTATAAGAGTAAGAATAATTTTGTAAAAAAAACAACAACATACATATTGCAAAAAATTATTAAAACAAAATAAAAATTATATTAAATTTTATATATATATATATATATATATATATATATATATATATATATATATATATATATATATATAATATGTAAAAATATTAAAAAGTTGATTTTCATTAGCTATTTAGCTGTTATTGTTATTGTTATTATTATTATTATTATTACTATTATTATTATTATTATTATTATTTATTTTTATAATTTTAAATTTTACTAAATTTTGATAAAAATCACAAAAAGGTGAGGATTTAAATAAAATAGAATCATTAATATGTTTATATATATTTATATATTGGTATAATGAGGTATAAATAGTATTAATCTGTTCTATAAATAAAATAAAATAAAATAAAATAAAACAAAATAAAACAAAATAAAATAAAATAAAATAAAATAAAATAAAATAAAATAAAATAAAATAAATGGGTGTAACCCCGGTGTCCAGGCTATATTCCCTCCCATCGAACCTTTACGATCAAGGCCTACCAATCATCCCCATCCACTGAATTGGCACTATCACTGCCTCTCCACTCCACCTGTAGTTGATGTTTGGTGAGCACACCGGCGCCGTTGTCCTGTGGCTGCCATTGTATCATACAAATGGACACATTTGCTGTGCCATGCACACTTGTGGTGGTGTGGAGAGGCTTCCCCACATAATTGTGAAGCGCTTTGGGTGTATGGCTATACACAATAAATGCGCTATGTAAATACACATTACCTACTTACTTAAATAAAAAAAATAATAATAATACAAAATTTGATTATATAAAAAAATAAAATAAAATAAATAATTAAATAAAAATAAATAAAAAAATGGAAATAAAATAATAAAATAAAATAAAAATCTAATCAAATCAAATAACATAAAATCAAATAATAAAATAAAATAAATTCATGAACATACATACATACATTCATACATACATACATACATAAATACATACATACATACATACATACATGTATATATAGATGAATACATATTATAGATTTTTTTAAATTCTATTTCGTGGGATCAGCAGCACTTTTGATTTCACACATTTTTAAGCTATAATTACATAATTCATAATTTTTTTGTAATCTCATGCAGGTTTATTATTGTTGTAACTTACTTAAAATGTTTAGTGCTGATCGGTTTCATTATCATCAGTTCATAATAAAATCCAATAAAGCGATAACATTTATTAACACATCTCAGAGCTATAACAGCTAACTTTCCTTTTACGATCATGTTACAGAAATGAATAGCAGTTATTCACTATACAGTCCACTATTAACAATGAAAATCCTAATCATTTTTTAGAAGCACAGGTGTATTAGCATGAAAAGCCAGCCAAGTAATAGCCCAGAAACTGTAAAAGAGCTTCATCTTTATGTGGAAATCTTACTTTATGTATTCCGCTCCTTATTACTTTTTAATCAAAGACTCACTCTGGGCTCTTTTGATGGGAACCTGTGTCCAGCCAGATCTATTTCAGCAGGGCTTTGTAACTTTCCCAACAGCCCGCCAATAGAGATAGCCATGTTTTTCTATGCAAGAATCCCTATCTTTGCGAACACGCTTATCGATAATTGGAAGCTAACAACTGACGCTGCTCTCCCCCCTCTGAGAACTAAATGAAATTCAGCATTTGAGAGCTTGTCTTTATCCTCTCAGCCCTTCCAGCTCTTTGAACGTTAGATATTCCTGAAGACTATTGGAATTGAACATTTAGCATCGTACCTCCCAGTTGATATCCATTTCATGTGGCAAATGAGCTTCGATCTTGATATTTTCTGGGTTCTTGTCGGGTGCTTTCGGAAAGAGCAGAAATATGGATTTTGTCGGAGGTGAAATTGTTAGTGGAAGAGAGAAAAATGACCTGTGAAATATGCACTTTATAGACTGCAGCTTAAACGAGAGGGGAAAATCAATTATCTCACAAGTTTGAATGTTTTAAAGTTCAGGAGAGCTTCTAGATACCTGATGCTGGAGTTTTGTATCTTTCAGTGGACTGGCTTGGCCGACCTTTGCCCACCTCGTTGATGGCGGAGACTCTGAAGCGGTAGTCCACATGTCCATAAAGCTTCAGCGGAGCTGAGTGATGGTTTCCTGGGACTCTCATCATCTCCCTCCAGCTGCCTGGCTCATGTTGGCTTTCTTCAAACTCTAGAACAAACTCTGCACCAAGTTGAAAATGAGAACCTGCTGTCAACACTTGCACCATAACTCATCCTTTGTCAAACACCAACAATGTTTTTCAGTGATTTTAAATGTATAAAATCTAAAGTAACTGATTTTTTTTTTCCCATGATGTACTGTTTACATTGACATACTCAAACCTGGCTATGTTCAATTTAACCAATATAAAATGTTTTTAAATAGTAAATTGAGTAGAAATTGTATATTTGAGGTAAAACCTGATTCTTTCTACTGTTTTATAATGCATGAGCAAAATTCATCGATACACAAATTGCATCTCGGTGTAGCTGAATACTATTTGTTTTGTATGACATGTTTTAACAAACTAAATTATTTGCATGCATTTAAACAATAGATTGCACTACAGTCCAACTGCATTGAGCCAGTAATAAACATTTGTTCCAAAAAAGTATTATTTTAACTTAATTATGGATTATGGATTAATTAGTGGAATAATAGCTACTGCAAATTGTCACCACTAGTTAATTCACTTTTGCAATCATAATGAATAAAATAAAATAAAACAAATTTTATAAAATAAAATTTGTAAAATAAAAATCAAATAATTAAATTAAAATAATATTTAATGAAATAAAATTAAATTGAATGTAAAAAAATTATAAAAATAAATTATATATATATATATATATATATATATATATATATATATATATATATATATATATATATATATATATATATATATATATATATATATATATATAAAT